TGGTCCAAGTAAACTTTGAAGTCTCCTGAAAGACTTAGCTTTGAGGAGCAAGAGCCAGGGTTCCCTCTTTGCATGAGGTCACCTGAGTAACAGCTTCCCCAGATTCAGCTGCCAGCTTTCCTGATCCAAGAGGGCACAGCTACCATTTGCTCTGGTGATAGACCTTGATGTTATCCATGTGATATTGATTTTTGCAGCCATAAAGACTTTAAGAGTTATGGGATCATGATTGCTTCCACCGAGACTCCAAAGGAAGGTCTGGCAGAACAAACAATGCATATAGCAAGGTCAGCATCCTTCTGGGCAGCACTGAGAGGTAAATGAAGAATCTGTGAAGGTGAAGCCAAAGCTACAGAGAAGAATCCATAGTATTGAAGATCCCAAGCATGTGCGTGTCTATGGAATAGTATCCTCCAGATTGAAACATTTCTGTCCTGGAGAGAGGTGATTCAGACACCAGAAGTTCCAAATTAAACATTCCACCCTGAAGGAAGGAAATTAACGACTCACAAGTCTCAGACTTATTACAAGACTCAGAAAGCACCTTCCCCTCCAATACATAAACTGTAAAGATGGCTGTTGAGCTGTCTGTAGAGATACAGCATTTGTTTTGGTTTTGGTTTTGGTTTTTCGAGACAGGGTTTCTCTGTGTAGCCCTGGCTGTCCTGGGACTCACTCTGTAGACCAGGCTGGCCTCGAACTCAGAAATCCGCCTGCCTCTGCCTCCCAAGTGCTGGGATTAAAGGCGTGCGCCACCACCGCCCGGCGAGATACAGCATTTGTACTCACAAGTGTGCTCAATCAGCCATTGGCTTTTCGGTGATGCTGCCATGTTTGGGTCTTCCATGCTCTTGTAAGTAACTCAAAGAAACTCAGACTCACCCAAATGGCCTTTGGTAGATTCATTTCACTGGTCTTTCCCAGAAAAGTCACAAGAAACTCCAAGCAATGTGTGGAGCCAGCTCAAGAGGGACCAAGCGGACTACAATGAAAACCACAGAGCAGAGCTGCCTGATCCCACTGGAGTTCCTGTCATGATGCTACATACCCCAGATGCTGGAAATGGAGCTATAGAATGTAATGTGTATGCTGTTGGTCTTTGGTTTTGCTTCGGCTGGATGCTTTCATGTTTTCCTCCTATTCTCTTTGGGATGGAAATGTTACTCTGTCTCATCATATATTAGAAGTATGTACTTCCTTGAGTTTCGGAAGAGACTTTCACTTAGGACTCTTGAACAATGTTGGAATTGTTAAGACTGAACATTTTAGACATGGGCTACTCTCAATCTGCATCATGAGATAGTCATGACCCTGGCGGGGACAGGGGAGCAGAACGTTATGGTTTGTATAGGGAGAATCCTCAAACAGAATTCTTATGTTTCAGATGCTATTCAGCTAGTGGCAGTATTTTTGGAGATGGTGCAAACTTTGGGAGGCAGTGGTAGCAAAAGTAACTGGTCACTGTGGCATGTTGTTGGAGATGATGCCTGAGTTCCAGGCCCTTGGCCTCTCTCTTCTTCTTGTACACCCTGAGGTGTAGCGGTTCCTCAACAATATGTTCCTACAACATTATACTCAAGTACATAGCAACAAGCAACTAAGAATTGAACCCTATGAAACCATGAGTCATGATAACTCCTCCTGTTGTTTCTGTCAGATAGTCTGTCATAGTATCAAGAAAAGCAACTAATACAACACACACATACACACGCACATCACTTCAAGCGAGTTAAAATTTCCACATACATGACATCTCAGACTGCAGTAGGCATCAGTGCCTACTGCACTGATGATCAGAGGATCAGAGACTGAGTCTTTTCTTAGGTAAGTCATACAAGATGGAATTATGAGTTTCTTGACTGTCCACCTGTCTCTAATCATGACCTGCAGGACTGTCCCATGGTATTTGGTAAACATCTTCATTGCACCTTGGGGAGACATCATCTGAAGAGCAGAGTTGTCTCTTCCTTCACTTATTTCCTTTGTCTTTTGTACAACAATTCCTTGCCTCCTCTCTCACAAAAACCTCACATGATTTCGAGATGGTTTAATTGGGTTGTGGTTTGCTCAGACATCTGGGTAGATAGCAGAAAGTGAGGTTACAGGAAAGATAATATTCTTGGGTGTTGGAGAACTGGATAAGTGAAGCTCTTGTCTTGCAAGCATGAGGGCTGGAGTTTAACTCCCCACACTTACATACACAATACTCAAGCGTGCACAAAGAGTAGAACATACTTTGCAATCCCAGTGTTGGGGAAAATGGAGGCAGGAGGCTTGCTGATCAGTCAGTCTATCAGTCTAAATGGAGGAGTCTCTAGGCTCACTGAGAGACCCTGTCTCAAAGGAGGTAGACTGTAGGGGGTGAGTCATGTCCTGAGTGATCGTGTATTGTTGCCACGGGCATGGCCATGACAAGGTTCCAATGCCTCAGACCGACAGGAATAGCCAAGCCTTACTCCCAGGGGAGGCTCAGACGAACCAAGAAAATCTTTCTCTGGTCTGAATGCGAATGTTGACAGTATGTGAAGAAAATGGCCACTATCTACCCCCCCACTCCCATGTTTATGTCCTGAAGACTGATCCCCTACAGAGATTAACTAAACCCTTTCCTCCTCCTCCTCCTTCTCCTCCTCCTCCTCCTCCTCCTCCTCCTCCTCTTCCTCTTCGTCCTCTCCTCCTCTTCCTTCAGCTGTACACAATAGCCTCACCTCCTGGTTTATCTGTATATAATAGCCCTATCTCCCTGCTCAGCTGCATTTCCAGGGCGCTGGGGCTTCTCCATCTCAGGGCCCAGACCACCTAATTCCAGATTCCCTGTGTACATGTCTGCCCTTCCTTTATTCCCTGGCCACCTCCAGTCAGAGTTTTCAGTATGGAGTTGGTGCAAGGACATGGCAGTGGATCCTCAAGGATGACACCTGAGCACCTGAGCAAGGGTGACACCTGAGCAAGGCTCTCTCCTTCTGTACACAAACACACACATGACATCAGATATTCTCAAGCAAGAAGATCAAGTTATAAGAAGTGAGTAAGTGGGAAAAGGGCTAGGGACAGAGAAGTGGTAGTGGGAGCTGGGGAAGGTGGGTGGAGAAAGCCCCATAGGTCATGAATACAGATCTATTCCTACAGGCTTTAGGTGTCATACCATTAGATGTGACCTGTCCCATATCTCCTAGGGCTGATGTTATGTCCCACTCCTCTCTTCCAAAGAAGTGCCCAGTGCCTCCTACAACAGGTTGTCCTGATAGGGTGGCAGAGGAGGACTTGGGCAGAGTCAATGACACCTACCCTGCATACCACCTCACACCCCTGTGACAAAACATGCTCCAAACTTCACTTCCCTGTGCCTAAAACGTGTTCTCCAACTTCAGCTGGTTGGACTAGATCGGGTGGGGACCGAGGGCTCATAGGAATAGACATCACTCTTGACTGAAACACATTCCACAGTCAGGCAAACAGGGTGTGGTAGAGGTGGGCCAAGCCCAGCTGTGCTCTGGAGGGATGTAGGCTTAGGTCTGTTGTAAGCTCACATCAGCCCATCCAGGCCCTGACATTCCTACCCAGCTGAGCTCTCTAGACTTGCCCAATACTTCCCCTCCCCTCCTAGAACTTTCTCTGCTCACGTCCTCCCTAGGTCCTGCTTACAGTTTGCTAGTGACTTAAATTTTAGCCATCTCTACTTTTGGAGGAAGGACTAAAGAAAGGTAGGAAGGACTTCCATCAGGATGGGGCGCCCCTTGCCTCCCATCAGGAGACAGAGTTTTGCCATGTAGCTCAGATTGGCCTTCAATTTGTGCACTTCCTGTCTAAACCTCCCCCCCCCAACCCCGTTTGCTGAGAGTATAGGCATGCTTTACCACACCTAGCCTTTGTCCTTGGCAGTTTTATGCTGCCTTTTAACTTCTCACAGACATTTCCCTATTTCCTGGATTATTCTTGAATCATCTTAGTGGTTATATCACAGTTCAATCAATAGAACACTAGACTTATGAGCCTGGTGTGTAGCAGAGCTTACTTCCAGAACAAAGCGGGGCACACGCATGGCATGTTTGTAACCCCATCAACTTGAGGCAACAACTCGGGCAGGAGTCTGAGGCAGTGTGGACTACACAGGAGACTCGGTGTCAAAAAGACAAAGGAAACAAAGAGATTAATATGAGAGGGGACCACTTCATCATTCTCCCTCTTTCCCTCTCTTCCCCATATCCACACCTCCACCCTCGTGTGTGTGTGTGTGTGTGTGTGTGTGTGTGTGTGTAGGCCAGAGGTGCCTGGGTATTATTTTTCAGGTGCCAGTACCATCACCCTTTCACACTTTTGGACAGGATCTCTCACTGGCTTGGATCTGGCTAGCCTGACTGGCCAGAGAGTCCCATCTTCCCCTGCCTCTCCAACACAGTTATTACAAGCACACACCACCATGTTATGAGAGTTCTGGGGATCAAACTAAGGTCCTAATGTTTGCAAGGTACAAACTAAGCCTTTGTCAGCCTCACTTCCATTCTTCTGGGCTCTTAGGGACATCGCTATGAAGCTGTCTGTGAGGCGCCAACTCAGGCTCACCCAGTCTACAGGAGCCCACGGCATCCCATCACAGCTCCAACTATATCTTAGTAAACAGATTTCTCCGGGCTGATGAGATGGCTCACATAATAAGGGTACTTACTGCCATGCCTGATGATCTAAGTTTGATTCCTCAGAACTCACCTGGGGGAAGGAGTAAATGGAGACTTCTCTGCTCCCCTGCAGAGCAACCTCTGCCCCTGCCCCTGCAGAGCAAATGCCACTCCTCTACATCCCCCCTGTAAGAGTCCCGTGGTCAGCTTAGCGTCTCAAGGACCCTCAGAGGCCAGTCACCCTCGGCCTTTTTTGACAGAATCTTATCTCTCCACATTCTTTCCTACAGGTAACACTTCCCTGGGTACAGCCTGGCTACTTGCGCGTCTGGTTTAATGAACACGAAAATGGGTTAGAACAAGTTACACAGGACCACCACATCAAACCAGGAGTAACCAGTGTGACAGTTTATTCAAGTCTCTGAGAGCTCTGGTGTTGGGACCAGGCGGAGATCAGCATTACACGGTAATACAGTGGGCGGCTTAGCCACTGAACCAAGCCCGCTTGGCATCCCGTCAACAATGTACAGTACCTTGAAAGAAATGAGGAGAGAAAGCCAAAGGGTAGAACCTGATAACAAGTTTCCTTCAGGACTTTTCCGTCTTTAAATACTTCTGATAATACACAATAATTTAAATTCCAAAGCAAATAGGGGCTCAAGGAGGGACTCAAGACACACAGAGAAGAGGAGACACTGCCACAGAAAAGGAAGCTTGTAGTTAAATACTGAACAACAAACAACTTTCACCTTACCTTCTAGACTCATGGGCGTCAAAAGGAGAAACCCCAAATACAACTTTTTCAGAAAAATAGAGCCTATCCAATGCCTGTCCTTGAACAGAGCCTCAGATCGCTGCGTGTGGAGGCCTGGCTGTGGACAAATGTCCAGAACAGGGGCCAGGGGGAGCAGAACATTAGTGAGTTCAACACCTCTCTGCTTTGCTAGCTGGGTACCAAGGCTCAGGCGACAAAAGAACAACATCCTGATCTCCCTGGAAGACAGGAGCTGAGACAGGCTTCCAAGTTCCAAGAACTGGGAACAAAACAAAGTGGAGGAGCAATACAGGACGTTCCAAGTGGGGAGAGCAGAGACCAGGGCCTCCTTGGTGCTGGGAGGGGAGCTACAGGGCAGACAGCCATCCCAGGGAGATCAGAATCCCGGCAGACCCGAGAAAGGTGAAGGAGAAAGCTACTATCAGCAATAATGACGTTTGCTGGGCTCTGGGAGATCACAGGTCAGCCAGAGAATACAATTCCTTGGGAAGGGGTTGATTTCAGAATGTACATGGACCCAAGAAGGACTAATTTCACCTCAAGGCTTTTCAACAGCGGTCTAGAAATGCGCTCACAGGCTAGAGCAGAGGTCGGCAACTTGCTTCCCAGCTCTGTGACTCTAGGCACGCGATACGAACACCCCAAGTCTGTCCACACACTCTTGGATGCAGGTAATAGCCACCAGCTCTGGGGGGTGCTGTAAGGAGCCACAAAGCACACGCACGTAACGTTCCGGACAGAGCTTCTTTACGTGGAAGATTTAGTAGTTGTTTCTTAAGATTTGACATCCAGCTCCAAACCCGGGCCAGGATAAACCCTCATCTCATTCTGACAGTAATACGGAGCTAAGTTACATGCCTGAAATCTTAGCAGCTGGTAAGTGGAGGCAGGAGGATCAGTAGCACAAGGTCATCTTAGCTATATAACAAGTCCGAAGCCTGTCTGGGTTACATGAGACCCTATCCAAAGTAACAATGATAATAAAAATAAGAAATAAAAGGCATAGCAGTCATGGCCTTGGAACTGGAGGTAGAATAAACGGCGTGAGTGGTGCGACTGTGAAGGCGGGAAATAATGGCAGTGAGGCTAACCCTAGTGGACAGTGCGAAGGTTTGCTGTGCAGGGGTGGGGTGGGAAAAGTCACAAAGCTTACCACACTGGGGAGCAGGACTGATGAGTGAGGTCTATTTACTTCTAGAATTCCAAGAGCGGTTTAAGTTGAAAATGTCCAGGCTTCTGTCTATATGAGCACTTTCTTTCTGGAATGCTTCGGCGAGCCTGAAAGGCAGCCGGAGAGAGAACACGAAGGAAGGACAAGTCACCCCAGCCACAGGGCCAAGGACAGGGACAGGGTGCTTCCCCATTGTATTTAGGGGACGACAAGCAGCACTTAGAACTTGTGGTACGAGGTGGTAATGAAGATAAAACACAAAGTCTATGTCAAATGCCGCAGCTCCATCTGGAGCCCCAGCAGACAGGCAGGCAGGGCCTATCCCACACCAGGTTAAGGAGAGCAAGGCACTTGCATTGGATACAAACTTCAAAGGGAGGATTAAAAACAAACAAAAAAAATCAGTAACCAAAGGCTAAACTATACTTCAGTGTAAATTTCTAAAATGCCAAAACTAATAAAAACATCCATGATATGGTCGGTGCTCAGCCTTAAGGCTGTCTGGCAAATATGGCGGTGTGAAGGATTGCAGGAGTGAGGGCAACAGAGAACTACTGAAATTTGGTCTTGTGTGCAAGGATGCCATATCACTTCCCAGGGGTCTTCACATCAGGGTCTTCCTTACAGCCGTTCTGACCAGAGGGCTTCTGCTCCTCCTGCCCCAGTAAGAAAAGCTGGTCTTTGAACACGAGATTTCTGCTCTCATTTCCTATCTTGCTGCCAGTTCACACCTGACAATCCAGGCACAGGCAGAGCAGTCAGAGGGTCAGTCAGGGCAGGGCGGGGCAGGGCTGCTTCCAAGGGAGATCCCTGCTCAGGTTACCACCCTCAACCCCCAGGATCTTCCCCTTTCCAACGAGAGACTTAGAGATGATTCAGGGACAAAGGCAGTAAGAAATCAAAGCCCAGTCAGAGCTAAGGAAGGAGAACTCAGTACACTGAAAAGTCAGTCCAGCGCTTCCCCAGCAGCTTAGGGAGACCCAGGTGCCCCCAGGATCCACAACCAGAAATGGACAAAGAAGGCAGTGAATGGGAACACCTAGAAGCAGTCCATTAAATAAATATATAAATAAATAAATAAACCTCACCTGGCTTGCAGACTTAACCAGGAACCCTGGTCTGGGTTAGACTGGTTAGATATGAATTAATTACCCTTAATCAAACAAGATTCCAGCTCCTAGTTCCTGCCCTCCTACTAAGTACCAGAGATGGTGAGCCTCCAGGCGGCAATGTTGGGGAAAGAGTCCAAGGAGAAGGGCCTTTCTCCTTTTACATGTGGATTTTATTACGACTTTTGAACTAGGAAAATATTGTTTGGTCATCTGGAAATGTGTTTCCGACTGTATCGTGGCAGGGAGTCGTTCTCAGGCCAAGCCAAGGATATACGTAATGTATGACAATTAATACATGACTGATCCACATGGAGTAGCCAACTTCAGCCTTTGACCTCCAGTCACACAGACATGCTCCCTTTCTCCAAGGGAAGCAACAATGCAAGAAGCTCTCTGTGCTGGGGCTGGGCCTCCGGAACCAGACATTAAGAGACAGGAACTTGCTCTGTTGCCCCAGACTGACATCACACCTGGGGCTGGAGAAATTGCCCTGCCTCAGTCTCCTGAGTAGCTGGGCTCCCAGGAATGCATCTCCAAACCTCACTAAGATGGTAGGTTTTCAAATTAGAAGGGCTTTAAGTAGAGGAGTGAGCATCCTCTCCAGCTCACAGGAGGGCTTCCGAAGGGCCAGATATTGGCAAATTTCGACTTGAAAATGGACAAATTAAGTTGCCAGGTTCTTGCCACCCACAACTCCCTGAGGGCCACTCTTACCTCTACCCCAATTCCAGTCGACACAAGTCCATAGAGGAAGTTCAGTACTTCACCAACAGTAGGGCCTGTCTCTCTTTCCCAGGCCTTCTAGAGGCAGAGCTCTGTGCTTCTGACCTGTCAGGTTGTGCAATTCCTCACATACCCATCCAAAGGCACATGATCAAATAAGCGTATGATAAAAAGATGGGGGTTCTGCATCCACGGTGGAGCACCATGGGACACTTACATCCTGAGGTGTCCACTCACAGCCACCCAGCCTTCCAGGCCCTCTGTTAAGAGCTTGACATTGGTAGGCCCTTGCTTAGCAAATGGGAGATCCAGCTACAGGGTTGGTGGGCAGGGTACCAGAGGAAAGAAGAGGATGAGGAGAAGACATGAACTTCATGAGTTAAGAATGGCCCTTCTCATGGGGAAAAGCGTGGAGCAAGGTCGGGTCTGGACACCCTGCAGTGTCGTGTCCCTGAGTTCTATGAGGAGCGTTATCCCTTGACACATGACGTTCCATGGCTAGGGACCCTCTTCCCAAAGATTATTCCAGAACTGGCCTGATTTCGAATTCTTATCAAATATGACCTTAGAGATACTCCTCAAAAAGCAAAGACAGCAAACTGCCACCCAGATGCTGCCACCAAGCTCCTGTTTGCTCAGTAAGACACAAATGGTAAGGACACCCAGCTGGCCAGGTTAAGTGGGGAAGGGAATTAGAAAACGATTATGTAGTCACCTGGGCTACATGATGTGGTGGAAGAGCATGCGCCTGGCCTGGGTGCCCATTAATCATGTTAAACCAACTCCAAATCACTCATCTTCCAGAAGCCAAGGGATAAAACTAAGGCGAGATGCCCTGAGGCAGAGATGGTGAGAACCACGTTGTCAGCCTCAGCATATTCATCCTGCAGGGGAAGAACCTGGCCCTCCAGCTGGCAGGGAGTCACAGTGTCTCAGTGTCCTTGCAAGGGAAGTGTATGATAAAGGCTTTTGGAAGGAGACCTGAGAGGGATCAGGACACAGGACCAGAGTCATGCAAGAAAAGCAGAACAGAGGAGGCAGGCCGGCTCACGTGGTCTCAGAGCCTGCTGGCCAGACTCAACCATCCAAACAGTGTGTGTGTGTGTGTGTGTGTCTGTCTGTCTGTCATGTGTCTGTCTGCTGCTCTTGAGACAAGTGTATCGAATGTGAAGAAAATGATGTCACTTTTTTTTAAAAAAAAGGTTAGAAGGGAAAACATCCTTATTCTGAGTTGTTCAAACGTAGGCTATTGTTATTACAATGCCTACAAGGTCACAAGGATGTCAAAGAATACCAAGTGAAGAGTATCCACCACACCTTCCTGGAAATAGCTGTAAGTGGCAATGGAGGCACCTCCTCAGTTCCTAGCAATAGCCTGGACCTATAAGGATAAGCACTGGCAAGTGAAGGCCTGAGAGACTCACAGAAAAGAACAGTATCCAATCCTATTAACAGCTTGAAGATGGTGAACAGGCCTTCCAAGCAGACAGCCAAATCTTGGAGGAAAGGGAAGTGAAAGGGAGAAGCTACTGTCACTTAAGTGGGTTTATTCACACCTACCAAGCCTGGTCCTAACCATGACCACCTATAAGGAAACCTATGTCACACAAATGGTAACTTCTTAACATTCATCTCATCTCCAGGCTCGCACGCAAGAGTGGCAGGCAGAGGGCCAGCACCGCACAGGTTTGGAGGAGCTAAAACAAGACCCCTCCCACCATGTTAACCCATGTTCACTGCAGCAGTTTACTCAGCCCTGCTTTCACTTCTCTCTGGTGCAATCATCTCTTTAGCAAAGCCTTCCTCTGTCTGAATGTTGGGTAGAGATGAACTAGATTCCACCTGTCACTCAATGGCATGTAGCTGCCACTCAGTGTACACTGCATCTGTAACAATGTCTTTCCTGGAGAGATGGCTACAGTCAAAATGTGGCTAGGAAAAAGCCCTAATTGGGTTGGAGCACAGGCTGGAACAAGCTGCAGCCTACCTTAAAGCTTTAATGCAGCCAAGGTGTGCAGATGACTGTGGCTTGGAACAGGGGAACATCACTGGGTTGGCTGGGGCCACGGGAGTCATGAGCACTCCTCTCATATCTGAGGGGTCAGAGTATGGGGGCAAAGTTAATCTCTTCCATTCTCATTTCACAGAACCAAGAGGGAAGATCAGATATTATAGCAAAACCCTGGCTGACACCATCAGCACTGATCCTGTCTGAAACTGGGGGTGCAGGGTTGAGACAAAGGGCAAATGAGCTCATAAAGAACTTGTGGAACCCGACATGCTTCCCAGAGAAACAGCACTGATGACATCTGTCACCTGCACCATGTATACAGCTCTAACACTCTGGGCATCCAGGTGGCAAACACGGAGAGCCTGTAAACAGACTGAAACACCACTGGGGACTGTAACCTCAACCAAGCTGTTACTATCATGTAGGGCCATGGTGCACACACAACACAGGGGGCTCACTGGGAATGGACAGTGAAGAAAATGGGTGAGAACACTTTGAAGCTGTGTATTCAAGTTTAAGAAACAAATACTAAACACATCAGCACTAGCCTTTCTGGTCTCTGCTACCCAGGTCATGGTACAGGGCCTGACACAAAGGCTCCCTGTGTATAGACAGAGATGGTGTCAGCAACCACTGCGTGCCTTAGGAACTGTATCATGCTACTACCTCCCTGCACCCAAACAGTATTACTAAGAGTTTCATTTACTTCAAGGACATCACAAAATGGACAGTCCGGTGTAGAAATCCCGATAGTTCCATACCTCATGGTCCCATATGCTATTGGCATACTTCAGGTGTATCTGCGAATCCTACGTGACCTAAAGCCCATTGACTCCAGGAACTGGAGGAAAGAACAGAAGTCTAGTAAGACAGACAAATGCAGGCATTGTTCCTGACTTCAGAACTGGGGTCAGTGAGCGTGTCTCCCAAACAGCTACTCCTGAGATGAATCTGATTACATTCAAACCTGGTGTGACCGTGATCTGAACCCAAGCCATGCAATGGGTGCTGATTTCTGCCTTTGTTTCTAAAACCTAAACCAAATGAAGGCATGACTCTATCACCCTCCCCACCCAACCTGACTGCATTGCTCCTGACTGCCTCCTCTCCTCCCTTTCCTAACTTTCAGTACTCATTGAGATTTGCGCAGATAGGCAGTACCAGGTCTGTCCAGCCCTCTGGCCTTCATAAGGCCAGCCTATCCCCATCAGCTTGCATGAAAAGACTTAGGACACAAGACACTTATCAATTACCAAAGGTGACACTGAGTCGTGGGAAGAATCGATGATAAATCAGAGTAATCACAGAACATCAGTACAGGTGTGTCAACAGGTAGGACTCAGGGCTGACAAAGGGAACCCAGGACAGCTCAGGCTGGCTGAGGAGGAGAGGCAGTGGACAGATTTGGCTGAATGACTCTGCAGTGTCACCCTAAAGATAAGGAAGACCAGAGCGTGGGGACATATGCACACACCCCTCTCTACACAGACAGAGCTGACACCCCCCCCCCAGTGACCATGGAGAAAAGATCCTGCAGGGCAGGAGAGCCTCTGAAGTGGCCCTGCTCCCATCCCTACCATCTTCAAAGTGCATTCTCAGTGCAAGGAGGAGGTCTGGATCCCAGGGGGCCTAACTGAGACCGGGCTGTGCCAGCCAGCTCCCTCTGCCTCCTCCAACTTCTCCCTTGCCCACCCTGACCCTTTTTACACTAAGACCAGAACTCCTGTTGGATCTCATATGGGGAAGGCCCGTGTGCATTCAGTTCAGCTCTGCATAGGGGCACAGTGCTATCCTGGCTCTGCCCCTCGGCGTCCAGGTCCAGAAGTGTCCGCTCAGCAGGGGGCAGTGGCCCTGCCTGTAAAGGGAGCAGGGCTGGAAGTCCAGGCCGCTCTTCTACAGTGCTGCTGCTGCTGGCAAAGCAGGAGTCCAGGTTGCTGGGTGTCTCTGTGCTGGAGCTGTTAGCTGGGGAGGCGCTGCGGGCATGGCTGGGAGACACAAACCACCAAGGGTCCAGCCGCTGCCGGTTGGCAGAAGGGCGTGGCCGAGGCAGAAACTCCAGAGTCTTGGGTCTCTCTAAGGTAGAGTCTCGCTGTGTATTCCAGCGCCTTGGAGTTGGGGGAAAGACCACATTGGGGTCAGGGAGACGGGGGAATTCACCTGGGTCTCGGCTGGGACTGGGAGTTTTCAACATACCTGGTCAGAGAGACAATGGGAAAGGCATCAGATGGCGGCAGTACCATTATTTCCAGCTGAGATATGCACCTTCCCCATACTTCCATATGCTTAGGAACACGGGGCAAAGGGAGTTAAACAAATGTTTACAGAACTCGCACTGTGTCAAGCAGTGTGCTGGGAGGTGCTGGGGATACAGTAGTGAACAGAAACAAAGTGGCCTAGGGTCCAGTAATAGTAACATATTGGGGGAACACACATATAATAAACTAATTTAAGGCACATGTTGGGAAAGGACCCATAAGCTGGTCTCTTATGTTTGTAAATAAAGTTTTACTGAGACACATTTTTGATACGCTCTGTAGCTGCTTTGTATCTCCAGCAGTATAGCAGAATAGTAACAGAGAGAGAGAGAGAGAGAGAGAGAGAGAGAGAGA